TTGGAAGCACTGTCTGACGCGTCTGCCTCCGCGACCCGAAAGGAGAAACGGCGATGGAAGATGAAGATGGAAGACGGACTCTCCATTATGAACACAATTCTTCGAGCATCGAAGAGTGCATCAGTATACCTTGTACCGGGAAGCTTGTGCACAGAAGTCGATGATCGATTTGATAATCGTATCGTCTGATTCACGACACTCTGTGTTCGATGTTAGTGTTAGAAGAGACGCAGAGCTATCAGCCGATCGTCACATTGTCAGTCGTGAGCAATCTGACGAGCAGCAGACAGCGGATCAGTCTTTCAGTAGATGAAATCACACAAGTTATGAAAAGTTTAAAATAGGGAAAGACTGCTGGAATTGATGAAATTCTCAAAGCAGTAGGCGAACAAGGCATGTTCTGGCCTACACGTTTCTGTCAAACAACAGTGGTTGCGGGGAAGACACCAGCGGACTGAAGAACGGGGGATTGTTGTACCCCTGTTCAAGAAGGGATATCACACGGAATGCTCCAGTCATTGAGCCTTCCGGGTATAGTCTATGCATAGGTGCTAGGAACGAGGTACCGCGAAATAACTGACTCCGGTTAATATAAGAAAGTTGTGTGGCTTCCGACCCAGCCGAACCACATCTGACCAGATATTCGCATTACGCCAGATTGTTGAGAAATCGTTGGAGTACGCCCATCCGGTGTACATGTGTTTTGTTGACCTAGAAAAAGTCTTTGACCGGATCCCACGCAACAGTCTGTGGACATGCCTTTGTGCATACGGGATTGATGGCCAGCTGCTAAGGGTCATCCAACCACTGTATTCTGATAGCAGGTTCTGCGTCAGAGTAAATAGCGCTAAGTCGGGACTCTTCAGCTTTGGCACTAGTCTCCTCCAAGACTGCGTTCTGTACCCGCTCCTGTTTGTGTTGTACGTGGACAGAATAGTGAGGTGCAGTCAGGGTAATGAGTGTAAAGGATGTCGACACGATAAAGTCGCTATCTCCAGACGATCTTGTTTTACTTTGAGTACCTGTGGGTCGTGTTTAATGATGATGGACAGTGAGAGAAAGGAATCGATCAGCGGATTTCAGTAGCCAGTTGTGTTCTTCGTGAGTTAGCCTGATCTGTTGTAACTAGAGTAAAACCGAGTCGGAAGACTAAGCCGTCCGTGTTGTAGTCGATCTTCATCCGCATGCTTCCCTACGGTTATGAGTCGTGAACCATGAATAAAAAATTACAAGCGGCTGAAATTCTTAGGCGACTCACTGTCTTGCATCTCGACATGGTTCGTCGTACAGAAATCCGCGAGAGCCTTTGTGTACAGCTGCTGCTTCTTCAGACTATGAAATCAGAATGGCCATTATTTTGGCCGCTCTTGCGAATGCTTCCAAAAGGGAACTTACGAAACTTGCCGGATCCGCTGGCCGATGACCTCGAGGACGGTCAAGAATGAGCTGAGGCGGATATTTTGATGCACTTCTTCATACTCGGTTTATCATCTTCCGAAACTAAAATACTGGCTAAAGATAAAGAACGCTGGAGACACTGGCGGACGTGAGTGCCTTGCGACTTGAAGGGATTGGTAGTGGAATCTGTCTGAATGTGTGACTAAAAGTGACGGATAAGTCATAGACTTCTGCTGTCAGTTATTCGGATTTTACCCGGCGTAACGCGCCGTTTCCTTGCTTCTAGTAGCTTAGGGGAACCGTAATTGACTTCTTTCGCCAAATGCGTTCAACACTTCTTTCCGTCAGTCTAACTGTTTTTCCCCTAGAGATTTAGAGAGCACGAATAACTTTTCAAATACCGTAGTTTTTTTCTTTTTTTGTACTGACATGTTTGCTTTCTAACTGTGAACTGTTCGTGGTCAACTGCGGTACTGACTGCAAGTTCGCAAGAACTATCGCAACGTGGGCCAAGGCTGTCTAATTCTCTCTTCATACGTGTTTTTGCTCCGTATTTCTACACAGCGAATTACGCCTGCACCTTAGTTTTAGACCGTGGGGAGGGGGGTGGTTCGCGCATCTACACAATTATCTGGTCAGTTTGCTTCGACGTTTCTGGTTATAGCAACTTCTGTTATTTGAGCCATTCTTTCTGTCCATATCAATCTTCCCTAGTTAGGTTTCAAGAAAAATCTTCTGAAAACTCATTAAACATGGATCAGCGGTTCATTACACCGTAGAGAATAATTTGTTTATGTTATAATTATAATTACTGATTCCGAGCGTAGCTCTTCGACATCTCACCCTAACTTGTCTGAACTTCAAAATTTTCTGCTAGAGGATAGTTCGAAAGTACCAGACCAGTACCAGTACTCCAGGACTCCGACTTAATTATTGCGATACAGCAGCATGAATTACCTAAGCGTTTTGCGCGGTTGTTTTCGATGTGTCCAGTAGTCAGTATCGCACTTCTTTCTAATTTATTCGTAGTCGTCAAACACGGCGGCTAGGAAACATTTATTACCTTATTCGTACCACTTTCATTGCACCTTGACTGATTCAGGTCGTTTCCAAATAAGGCTAGATTCTTTTCACTAAGAGGTCGTTTTCAGCTTTTAGTTACGTTTGGCAAATGACTCCGGCTTGGGAGATGACTCAAGAGTTTGGATAACACGCTTGGTTCAGGGTGCCAGTGATAATCTTACTCCATATTATTGACCAGTGGATAAAAGGTAGACGACCTCGCTGCGTCTCGGATAGTGTTGGTCGATTCTTTTCTAACTGTTTTTTTCGTTTCTTCTTTGTGCCAGTTGTGACCAATGCTGATTTTCACCTACTGACAGTACCGTTCGCATTGTAACGTGTCACAAAGCCGTTAGTATGAACTGAAACGCCAGCGAAGTTCGGTGAATCATTTACAAGGCAACGTATTGTGGTGAAACATGAATTATTCATTAGCGTTACTTTCGTTCTTTGTGTATTCATTTAAGTAAACAGCTACGACAGATATCGACTAACGGTGACGAAGAAACA